CATTCATCTTTGGATAGTGTTCATGATATGATTGGTGCATATGTTCCTCAGCCAATAAAAGAGAAAATTATTTGTGGTGAATACCTTGAGCTGTCCAATCAAGCTGAAATCAAATGACTCCATTGCTAGGGTTTTTATTATCTCTCCTGAGGGTCAACTCATTGCAAAAGAACAAAATGTGACAAAATTAATTACTACTGAGAAGTGGACCGATGCCTTCATAATATATATATGTGCAATTTCTCGTCAGTTCACCCCCAAAGGTTTCAAGAGTTCTTGAGATACATGCGGACAATTAGGTTAGGAGCTTTCAGAACCAAAGGGCTTGGTTGGAAATTGTATGACGAGAAATTTCGGATGCATGCTTCAAACAAAATTGTCAATATCACCATGCATGTTTGATATGCGGAGCAGAGCATGCTAAGACTGTTTGTCCCAACAAAACAGTTGAGGAAAATAATTTTCGCACCAGAACCTCTCAAAATCAGCATTACCAAAGGCCAAATAAAACACAGAATGGGAGTTTCACAAACAATATAGGCCCTAGGGGATTCACCCCTAAAAACTGAAATTCTTAAGAAATACTTAGAAAACTATCCATTCAAGAATACTTCTGAATTTTTAATTGACAGTTTAGAAAATGGTTTTAGGTTAAATTACACTGGTCCCAGAATGGGGGGAAATTCTAAGAATTTAAATTCTGTTAGAGAATTTCCGGGAGAAGCCATGTCAAAAATACTTAAAGAAGTACAATTACGGCGAATTATAGGTCCATTTTTGAGCCCCCCTATTTCCAATATGCATTTGTCCCCTATTGGTATATTAGCAAAGTCGGATGGGGGGTGGCGAATGATAACTCACCTATCCCAATAGCATAAATGATTTTATCGACCCTGAGCAATGTAGATACATTTTTTGATACTGTCATAGATAAAATCATTCAAGTTGGTAAAACTCTTTATTGGGAAAAATGGACATCAAGTCTGCTTTCAGACTTTTGAGGGTTTACCCTGGTGACTTTGACCTGCTTGGATTCAAGTTTGAGAATAAATTCTATATTTTCAAGCCTATACAAATTCAAGTATTTTGTATTGTTGTTGAATCTTTGAATTTGTGAGTGATTCTCAGTGTGTGAGGACAGACAATTTTCTGGGCTCTGATATATTTGATAATTTACTTGGTTGATATGACTGATAAAGGTGTGTAATTTGGACAAAAGTTGCATTTAATGTTCAAGAATATTTTAGGACCAAAACTGTTGTAAAAAAATATTTTATTTTGTGGTGATTTGAGATTTTATTATCTGACCTAACGACCGAGTTAGCAATTCAGGTGTGAGCTGGTTTACTAAGAAGTTACTACTGTTTTGTGTATTTGTTTTCTGAACTCTTTATCGGATTGAAATGAGTGGTAAAAACCCTCAAGATAAAAGGGGGAAAATATCTAGCTCAGGGGATGAATCGGATACCACAGCCATCTACAAAAGCCTTGGAAGCATAGAGGATAAAATCAAAACAATGGTTACAGCTGAGATGTTTGAAGAAATAAATTCCAAATTAAAATCTTTGGTTACTGTGAGTATGTTTCAAAATATACTTAAAGACTCTATGGAAAACTTTGTATTGATGTGGAAAACAAGATTAGGAAGCAAGTTCATACTGATATGAGTGAAACAATGGAAACACATACAAGCGAGCTGACAAGTGCAACTAATGAAATTAAATCATTGAAAACGGAATTACTGAGCATGAAGATCGATCTTGAAAAGTCACAAGCAGCAGTGACAGAAAATACCCTAAATACCAAATGTGCCTTAATAACAAGTAACAGAACAATATTCACGCAAAAGAAATATTAAAATTTTTGGTTTTAAAGAGAATGCTAATCAAGACTTAAAAGTAGAATTCCTACGTTTGGCACATGTATATACAGGACTTCGCATACCTGAGGTGGAGATATTGGCTATACACAGAATTCCTTCTCGCAATAAAGACAGACAAAGACCGATCATTTTAAAGTTGATGACCTCTTATGCGAAGTGCAATAATGACTAAACGGCAGCTTTTTAAACGTAATGGTATCCTTCTTTTCGATGATGTTACCGCAAAAAATACTGAACTCCTCAACAGATTAAAGGCAAACAATGAGATAGAAAGTGCTTGGTATTATAATGGCAAAATTCATGCCAAGACTAACAATAATGTTCGTACAACTTTTGAACTTTTTGACGATATCAATCAGAAACTAAGTGAGGCAAAAATAGTAAGAAACGATGTAGGTGGAAAATCGAATAATATTAATGTAACTAATGCAATTGACACCTTTATGTCCGAAGTAAATCAAGGCATCACCCCAGAATGAGTGCTGTTATATGGACATGTGTGTCATCTTCTGTATTAAATGTAATGGTAGCGTTAACTTATCAGTGAACTTTCAAATTCCTCGGAACAATTTGCTCTATTATGTGCATATAATGATAAAATTTATTATGACTCTTAAACTTATTTGTATTTCAGATTTTTTATTCCATTTCTTATTTAACAAAATGGAAAAGCTTTATTTGAATATCAACTCTTTAAAGTCGTATACTTTCTCTTTGATTATATTTATAGTTAGATATTTGGATCTGAAGGGCCTCAGATTATTCTGTTATATATTTTAAAATGCAAATCCAACAATGGTACAGATATTTAGCATGAATTGTAGAGGGCTGAGGGATAAATCAAAAAGAAGAGATGTATTTAATAATTTGGCAAGTATGAATTTTAGCATATACTGTCTTCAAGACACACATTTATTAATGACGAATTCAAAAACGATCTGTGCAGAGTGGGAGGGGGAATATGTTATATGTGAAGGTAAAAGTAATTCTAGAGGGGTGTGTGTATTATTTAGTAAATATCTAGAATATGAGATAAAGCGCAAAGTTTTAGATGAACATGGAAATTTTATAGTGCTAGATTTAGTAATAGAAAATGATATAACTATAAGCTTATTTACAATCTATTTTCCGAATCAAGATTCTCCTCTTTTTTATCAGAGAATACAATACATTTTAGAAGATACTGACTCAGAATTCATTATTATGTGTGGAGATTTTAATCTTGTTCTAGATTATGATTTAGATTGTTTTAATTATAACAGAAATAATAATCCTAATTCACGTAAAGAATTATTGAAACATGGCGACTATATTACCCTTCCAAAAAATCTTATACTTGGAGAAAGCAAAACCCTTCAAAAAAAGCAAGACTAGATCCTGGAGAAAGATCTATTCCTAATAATTGATGATCAACTTTTCCTGGAAATGTTACTATTGAATATAAGCGCTAGAACTATATCCTTTATACATCAAAATATTTGGTCAACATTTTTTTGTAAATTTCATTAGAGTGTACTTCTAGTATGACTATTTTGAGGACACGGCCAAATGAAACCTGGTAATATTATTTTTGATAGATTTTGACGAAACCTGGTGTGAGTGTTTGTTATCACCCTAGGATGAATCCTATTTAAAATCAGAAAGACCAAAAAATAAACAGTATGAGTAATTGCCCTTGTTCTTGAAAACGCGTACAATTTTAGCTTGTAAACACTCTAGAAGGCACAATTCTTGATGGATTTTGATGAAACTTGGTAATATTGTTCAATATCTTCTCAATAGTTCAAAAGAAGTGTATGTCGGAAGGTTGAATATTTTGTACTGCCAAAATGTTTTATTTAAAATCAAAGCTGCCAGTGGGTGTACATTACCTTGCCTGGCAAGCTATCTTTCAGGAATGATATTGATTGTTTTTAAGGCATTTTCAAACAAATCTGCTGATGATTAAAGTTATTATCCCTGCTTTTCTTCTATTTTCAGTTTTTGGCTTAATTTGGTGTGGTTGCCATAGTAACCAACAATTCAAGAAATTTAACGAAAAAATATTCTTTTATGTCCATCATGTACAGAAATTGATGTTGTTTTAATCACAATTGAAATAAATCATATATTAAGATAGCTTTGAACTTTTTGAGGCGATACAGATTAATATTACCAAGTTTTGTCAAAATCTGTCAATAATTGGACCTTCTAGAGTGTTTATGAGGTAAAAATTGAACACATTTATAATAACTCATACTAAATATTTTTCGATTCTTCTGATTTTCGATAGGGTTCATCCTTGGTTGATAACAAACACTCACACAAAGTTGTTTCAAAATCCGACAAGAATTGTGCCTTCTAGAGTGTTTAGGTGCTAAAAATTAAACGCATTTTCAAGAACAAGGGCAATAACTCATACTAATTATTTTTCGATTTTTCTGATTTTTAATAGGTTTCATCCAAGTTTCATCCAAATCTGTCAAGAATTGTGCCTTCTGCAGTGTTTATGAGCTAAAAATTGAACGTGTTTTCAAGAACAAGGGCAATAACTCATAAAACATATTTTTTCGATTCTTCTGATTTTCGATAGGGTTCATCCTTGGTTGATAACAAATCGATAGGGTTCATCCTTGGTTGATAACAAATCTTCACACCAAGCTTTGTCGAAATCTTTCAATAACTTAATCTTCTAGAGTGTTTACAAGCTAAGGCGTTTTCAATAACAAGGGCAATCACTCATACTAATTATTTTCAATTTTTCTGATTTTCAATAGGGTTCCTCCTTGGGTAAATCCAAACAATCATAACAAGTTTCGTCATAATCAGTCAAGAATTGTGCCTTCTAGAATGTTTACAGACAGACGAACTGATGGACATGGGTGACGGCAATATATGCCCCCCATTTAAATTTAAATGGGAGTTTTTTATGATAAACCTTTAATTTCCCTTTCTACATCAAAAAAAATAATGAAAAAAATATTTGCAAATCCCACCAAAATGCATAGTGCAATTTTCAGCTAATATTTGCAGATTGGATATCAGTAGAAGGCACTGACCTTATGCTCCATGGATATGTATTTAAAAGTTTCATACCTTTCTTTGCAGTAGTTACTGACTACAATATGAAGGGATTAACTTGCAAACTTACATGTTTAAAAGCAGTTGGCGGTACAGCAGTAGTTCCCGTTGCTTGTAAGTAATCCTCCCATATAAATTCATGCTCATCATATTCAATTGGTACACCATCTATAACTAGAAACAAGCCAAAACTGTAATAGTTACAAAATTTAGGCCATCGGTCCAGATATAACAATACTCAAGAAAAGCAGTGGCGGAGCCAGGTTTACGTCCGAGGGGGGCGGGGGGAATACCTGAGGTTGCCCGAATTTCTATCCAAGTTTATATTTTTGCCAAACAAACATGCCTTTGGGACTGCGAGGGGGTTTAGGCAACCGTTCTGTCCATCTTTGGCTCCACTACTGGAGAAAAAATATATTTCCAGACATTAGACTCCAACCGGAAGTGTAGCAAAAAACTCCTTATTTCAGAAATCAGCCATGAAATTATTGATTTCAAACAAAAACTTCCCTCCTGAGATGATTTTTCTAAAAAATTGAAAACTTTTCTTTGTGATATGGGAATTTCTATAGAAATAAAAGAATTTGACAATAATATTAATAATAATGAAAGCATTAAAGACATAGTGACAAACAAAATTTTTCCATCAAATCTTATGTTACGTTTGGACATTGGTTACAAAAACTTTATATATTAAACTGTGGGAAAATCAACATGTTTCAAAACTTCTATTACCGGTAAAAGAAAGGATCATATAGGAGCCATTTCAAACCAGGTGTTCTTGTATATCGATAGGTGTAATATTTTATTAATAGAAAGGATCAAATAGGAGCCATTTCAAACCACATGTTTATGTATATCGATTGGTAGATGTAATATTCCATTAAAAGAAAGAATCATATAGGAGTCATTTCAACCATGTAACCATGTGTCCATGTATATCGATCAGTATATGTAATATTTATCAATAAACAGGCTCATATAGTAGCCATTTGAAGTGAATGTACATCTACTTATATGACAGTTTAATAATTATCCCCTCTTTAAATTGCAACAGGTGTCTTCAACTGATTACTCATGTATTGATATAACAGTGTTTCTATTTTAAATATGACATGGTCATTTATTTAAATTTAACCTTAGCAGCACATTCAATTTGTTAGCACGTAGAGCTCATGTAGGAGCCATTTAAAGTGAATGTGAATGTATTTATATAACAGTGTATTATTTCCATTTAAGTGTTTATTTGTAAATAAAAACTTTTTCTTATAACTTCTGAAATTTTGTGTTTAATCTACTGTATTTAAAATATTGGACTAATTTTAAAACAGGAATACTTTAATTAAATTCAATTTAAATATAGATATAATTAAAACTGTTCTAATAACAGTACTGATGCAGGGCGGGTTACGACATTCAGGTACATACGAAGATGGTCTATTGCAATTACATTGATGTAAATACTTTTCTGCATCTCTAAATGTAAATATCCAAAAGTGCCTGGAGTTTAAAGTATATTCACTAGGAATAAAAGAATATTTGTCAATTAATAAAGACCAAGTTTGATGAAATCCGGATAAGAAATACAAAATTTGGTAATGCGCTTGCGCACAACAAAAATTTATGATTTCCATCAAATTTAGAAATGGATTATACACATACCTAGCAAGTTTGATTAAATTCGGATAAGAAATAAGAAAGTTGATAATGCGTATGCGCACAACAAAAATTCAATATTTCCATAAAATTTATAATTGGATTATACACATACATACCAAGTTTGGTGAAATTCGGATAAGAAATAAGAAAGTTGGTAATGCACATGCGCACAACAAAAATTCAATATTTCCACCAATTTCAGAATTCGATTATACACATACATACTAAGTTTGGTGAAATTCGGATAAGAAATAAGACAGTTGGTAATGCGCATGCGCACAACAAAAATTCAATATTTCCATCAAATTTAGAACTGGTTTATAGACATACATGCCAAGTTTGATGTAAATCGGATAATAAATAAGAAAGTTGGCAATGCGCATGTGCACTAAGCAAATTCGATTATTCCATGAAATTTAGAATTTGATTATACACATACATTCCAAGTTTGATGAAAATCGAATAAGAAATAAGAAAGTTGGTAAATTAAGTGGAGGTATCCCTTTAATTTGCTTCCGTAAGCTTAACTTACAGTATAACACGGTTCAATCCACCCTAGAGCTTATTTATATACCGCAACGGGCCTCAAAACATTTTAAAGAAATATAAAAAGGAGGGTGTCTTTAAAACAACCTAAACTTTGATTTCTATTGGGGTTGACAGCCAGGTTAATCTAATTAGTCGATTTATCTAATAATAACCCCATGTAAAGTGAATGGGGTTTCGAATTTGCATGTAAGGCATGTATGTTATATATCATTGGAAAGCGCAGGACCTCAGCATTTTGAATCCGACAGAATTATTTCTCTACCTCTATTAGGGCACATGTGAGGACGCTTTAAAGATGCAGAATCAACTTTCAGTGACACCCATAACACCGAAACCACGTGTCGTGTCGGACACTAAAAATATTAGCATCATGTAAAAGCTGAAGTCAATAGTAAACATTAATGTAAATATCAACCAAGACCAAGTTCCTTTGATAGACGCATTTAAAGATTTAAGGAAATTGCAACATTTCTTTTAATGTGACTCTGACATCATCAAATGCTACATGAATTGAATTCAATTATTAAGTGCATTAATAATCTGAAAGTGGTATGGCGCTAAATCAATTAGGGTTTGGGATACAGCACTGCAAGAATGCCATTTTGACCATTGATCGCTACATTTATTTTCTACCGCGTCTGCAGGTGGGAAATATGTGTTAACGCTGATTGGTTCAATTGATCAAATCAAAATTAAGTTTCATAAATATAGATATCTAAAAATAACAAGCTCATAATTGAGTAGTTGCTATTTTCCAGAACAGTAAAAATGGAGGCCAAGAGATTTAAAATACTTACGTAACCGTTTAAGAATTATTTTATCGATTGTGACTTGACACTTGGATTTTTCACGTTGAAACTGTCACGAAAGGTAAATGGATAAAGAATTTTTTATAATTACATCTAAATCCTGAATGTTTCAACTGCAAGGGAGGTAATTAAGGAGAGCAAGAAATATATAAAATGAAAGTACAAGATATATGTATAAGAGTTATAGTTTTTTGCAGGAGATTAACTGTAATAATTTAAAACTTTCTTGATTTTTGTCAGAAATTCAAAACATACTTGAAGAGGGTAATTGGCAATGTTTTAATACAATATAGGTCAGAATTTTCTTGCTTAGATTAAGGGGGATAACTATGTTTCCATTTCTGAATGTAAACAAAGAAATAAATGAATTGATGATTAATTTAACACTTATAACAGATAATTAAGGGATTATCAGATTATCGGGTTGGTAATCAAGTTATTGTAATACCAAGCAGTGATTAATGGCTTTATACTTCATTAGACTAGAGTTGTCATCAAATTTTGCATTTGACCTATACTTGATGTCCGATACAGGATATTGACCGGCGGTCATGTCCGGCATATAGAGCCAAATCAACATCCCTGATTCATTGCAATTTAGTTGATGGCGTTTTTTTCAATAAAGTTAAACAACAAATTATTTACAGTATTCCTAATAGTAGAAAAACACTTTCAAACAGCTTTATTATTATAGGATACATTATTCCATTTCCATGCTTGAACACTTTCTTTTGTTTATCTTTCAGAATTACAACACCATCTTTCAAACCTCTTTTCCATGGTTTATCGAATTCGTTTTCGTCTTCTCCATTAGCTAATTTAGGATAATTTTCCAGAGCTAACTTATTTTTTCTATAACCTTTAAAACCTTTTCCACTAATTCTCCGTTAGAAGAATATTATATTTTACTTTTGAAGCCTATATATATTATAGGAGATTATAATATAAATTATAATTCACCTTTACCTTCTCTTGTATTGTAATAGTAAATACTTATAACCTGTCACAGTTATTTGATAAACCAACTAGAATTACTAATTCCTCCTCTACCTTAATAGACAATTGTCTGTTAAAGATATCAAGGTTCCAATATACGGTCTAAGTTATCAATTATATTTTCCTTAAATATTTTGCCTGAATCTTGTAATAAAAATCATCTTATATTCGAATATAGAAACTTAAAACACTTTAATGAAAATGACCTTCTATTTGAACTTAGCCAATAACCATTTAATCACATTGAAAGTTTTGATGATCCAAATATTTCCCTTCAAACATTTTATGATATTTTTCTAAATGTATTAAATAAACATGCTCTGAAAAAGAGAAAAATGTGCCAAATTTAATATACAACCAAGATGGTTTAACTCTGATGTAAAAGAAGCTAGTCGAAACCATGACAAATTTAAAGAGAGCTTGCCAGGCAAGGTAATATTCGCCCACTTGCAGATTTTGAATAAAAATATTTAGCAGTACAGTAACTATCACCAGTATGAAATATTCAACCTTCAGTCATACACTTCTTTTGAACTCTTTTGGGCGATACTGAATATAATATTGAGTATGAGTTATTGCCCTTGTTCTTAAAAAAGTGTTCAATTTGAAAATTCTAGAAGGCAAAATTCAACCTGCTGTTAGACATGTAGTGGTTTAATATGTGAAACCAATCATCTGATTGTTACTAATTTCAAGCTTTACTGAGATCTCATACCAAGTTTCATCAAGATCAGATAAAAAATGTAGTCTCTATCAGGCCTAATTGAGTTAATTCAAGGTCAAAAACTCCAAAACCATTCATCCAATTATTACCATTTTTGAACTTGAGATCTCATCAATATATACATGCATACTAAGTTTCATCGGGATCAGATAAAAACTGCACCCTGTATCATGACTACAAATTTGAAACCTTTTTACTAAGTCAAAGGCAATAACTCAAAAACCATTCATCCGATTATGACCAAATTCAAACTTGACCGAGATCAATGTACTCTGTGATGTCCGACATCTGAGTATTCTGACAATCTGCGTAATCCGACATCATTTTCTGGTCCCGATTGATTTCCTACATAGGCTAGTTTAAAAAACTCTGAGAACTCCGACACTCTGTGTATTCCGAATTATGACACTA